TATATATATATATATTTTAAAATAAAACCTATTAAAAGTAAGATAAAAGTTTAAAATATCAAGATGCGACCTAAAATAAATATTTACACTAAAAATAGTATAAAATTTTGATGTGGTCAAAAATTAGTTGTTCACAGTCATTTGTAGGATGTATAAGAATAGTACTGAATATGGTGTATTAGTAAGATTAGTAATATTGAGATTAATTATGCTGGATTATTATTTGGTGTATTAAAGGTTTTGGAAGGATAGTTCTGTATATATGGATGCGGTGGAAAGAAGTAAAACTATCCTTAAAATTATTCCAGTTAAATGGATGACATGCTTAAGCTTAATACGGATGGGTGCAACAAAGGTATTCCTGGCCTAACAGAAGGAGGGGGAAGATTTGATTATGGCCTTTTACTCGTTCTTTGACATATGCACTAACAACATAGCTGAGGCAAAGGCAATCTTTATTGGCTTGAATTGGTGTTTGGAAAATGGCTATAAGCAATTACAAATTGAATAGCTGGAGAAGAAAACAATGAAGCAACTATGCTTTCTCACACTGCTATAGGGAAGCCAACTGCACAGCTGACCTCTTGGCTAACTCAGCCTTCACATGAAATCTTCTACCTTCTTCATGGAAACTAATTCTTTGCCAAGGAAAGTGAGAGCTACTTTGAAGATTGAAAGAGACCAAATAATCAATTTCAAGAGTTAAAATAGCACTGGCTAGCCAGTTTTCGGACTGGTAATTAAAAAATAGTCAGTGTTTGTAAAGTCACTGAAAAACTGAAAAATAGTCACTATTTTGCTGCAACACGGAAAGTTCCGACATAATATACTAGAGATTGGAGCACATGTGTATGAACTTACAGCATATTATGTTGAAACTTCAGCACATTATGAAATTCCAGCATGTTATGTTCGAAGTTCGCATGTAAAAAATTCGAACTCCAGCATATTATGCTAGAATATTTTTCGGATTTTGAATAGTATTTTTGTTCAGATTTATCTTCACATGAAAAGTGACGAAATTTCGATTACTTTTGAAACTATGGCTATTTTTCAATTATCAGTTGTAAATATGGTTATTTCTGAATTTTAGCCATTTGAGGATTAGGACAAAAAAGAACATTTTTAATGTGTAATTTTTATTATTTTTTGCTTCTTTTCCTTTTGGTTTCTGGATACAAACTTTATAGGATAGAGTTTATCTCATGCTTATCCGTATATTAAAAGTCATGGTATTGCTAATGACATAGTTTGCTATGTATAAGAGTATATAGCTAATACAAGTATTAGTTATACATAGGTTGAAAAACACTACCAAATAAGGGATTAATAATACCAAAGCCAGTACATTTATATTTTCCCTAATAAATCCTACCAAACGATCCTCCCCCACCAATAACTAAGATTGCTCGGGGTTGGATAATCTATCAAATGCTGATTAAGTGTTGTTCTTTGCACTTTTGAGTGTTGTCTTCTTGGGATTTATCTTTCAATCTTGCACGTTTCATACTTAGGGGGTAAAACATTTCTCGTTCTTGATATCTTTGGTTTTAAAAGAAGATGATTAGTTTCATATACTAACTCTTTTATATGTTGTCTTTAGTTACTCTTTTAGAGGTTAACAAATAGGTAAGGTCTGAGGAGGGTAGTGTATACGCAGACTTTACCCCTACCTAGAGAGGTAGAGAGGCTCTTTTAGAGGTCACGTTCTTATTTATCTATTCTTGTTCTAATTTCTTTGTTGAAGGTTAACACTTTAATAGACGTTTTTTTCTTAACAGGATCTTGACAAGAATTTAGAGCATGAAGTTCTTGAATTCTTTCTTGAATTATCTAAGTTTCAGAGTTTCTTAGAGACTCAAATTCATGTTACCAGTCCATGCTCAGAGTAAGCACTTGATCCACAGAAAAAGGTGGGGAAAACGAGTTTTGGAGCTTAAGAAAGGTTTAGCTACCTTCTCTCTTGTTGCAATAGATCCCAAACAACTTACACAATAAACGTCTAAACTGAGTTTACAAACTCAGCTTTGGGAAAACTTCAAACGAACGCCAACAACTTTTTCATAATCAAGAGAACTAGTACTTCTTCTCTTCATTGATATCAAACTTAAAAATAAAGCTGTTTCATAACCTGGAGGGTATGTCAGGATCAACTGATAATTACATGAACAATCTTCATTTGGTACACTCCCACTTACACAAAAGGCAAAATCTGCCCAAGTTTTCGCAAGGCATTGTTGAATAAACTATGATCCATCACATTGTTAGATGCAGACTGCAGCATTTGGTATCTAAATAAGAGAAGATTAGACCATGTAATGTACTAAAGGAAAATAGAAAAGAAGAAAAAAGTTTCCTCTATCAGTGCTAGGTGACACAAACTGTATATATGGTGATATCTTTGCATCTGGTATGTACTTGGCCTCACCTGTGCACTCACTATAGACACTTGCAACAATTTTCCTACAGGCAGATCTTACGGTTCATGTAGAAAGATGGTTGGAAGACTTGCTATAATTATCTACATAAGAGACATGAAAATGCGAGCTTGATCAGAGTTCTTATGTACAAAATACCTCTCATATGATTCGATACTTTTACTGGTATCTTGACGCCTATTTCCGTGGTAAAACCAGGTTTATAGCTTTGCTCAACAAGATAGCCTTTTCTTCACTTTGACCTTCTTTCCAGACTTTGAACTTACAGGCAGAAGGAGTCTTCTCGACCCAACGTTGAAGCAATGACAGTGAATACTTTTCATTTTGGCCAGAAATATGCCATATACGCATGTCTAGATCCTCAGCTGCAACACCCAATTTGGCCTCATCATCATTACTCAAATCTATAACTTCAATCCTTTCCAGCTTTTGACTTTCTACTGTTGTTGGTGCCATATTACCATACAGTTGCTGATTTACCTTTTGATCATTATTGCTAAGCGAAGCGTCTACTTCAATTTGAGAAGCTGCTTTAAGCTCTGAGATTTCTTGCAGTAAGGATGTTTTTGATCTGTTTGGATCAGTTGCTGTGAACTGATGAGGCTCTTCTAAAACATTAATTTCAGCCTTTTCTTCTGGAGAGTATGCATGATACTGCTGTGCGTTCCTTTCTGAAAAGTTAGAAAAGTATGTTACAAAAACGATTTTTATTTACAAAAAATACATAGAATATTTTCCAAATTGGTTCTGTAATTTAAGTTTGAAAATGCTTCAATGTTACCCACTGCACGCATCATTTTGTACACAACAGGAAAAACAGCTTTAAAGATTGCTAAACTTGGAGTTCCACTTGTCTAGTTCTATGCAAATAACCAAATGTTCGGCAAAAAGATTGTCAAGGGGATAGAAGCTTCTTTAAATTGTAAAACACAAACTATATACATATGAGCAAATACAACTTTAAATCAATTCAATCTTGCTAATCTGAGCTACCTAAAACAATATATTGTAATTGGTTTTAATATTACAAAGAAAATATGGAACTCAAATATCAAGGTAAGAATTTCAAAATCGATGGACATTTTGTCTTCTTTGGTGCCGCTGAGATGAGAGCTAGTAAAGGTTAGATAAGAGCTCACAAATTTTCTTATGAGGCTACAGAAAAATTTCACTAAAGAAAAAGAAATTCATCAAGTTCTTAACCTCTAGAATATAATCATACCTGAGTAAGTTTCTCTATCTTCCTGTTTACCATTGACAACCTTGGAAGGGGTTGTCTCACGTAAGCATTGATGCTCCTGCTCGTCATGGATCTTGTGCTCAGCCAAAGGTTCAAGCTCTGCTACATCAGGAGTCACTCTGGGAAAATTATGTAGCAATAGCGACTGTTCTGATGGATTCTCTAGACGCTTTTTTTGTTCCATATACTCACAAAATGTAAAGACAAAAGGGGTTAAGGCAACAGTTTCCTTGTTTAGACGATTTGAGCCACACCTCAAGCTCTAAGGAGGGAAAGAATGACGAGAAACAGTGAATAGAAACAATGATCCACATAAAGTCATACCAGCAAGTGATCACAAGAAGCTTTGGTTCCAACTCCAAGCCAATCTTCCGACCTTATTTTTTTTTAAATTACTCTATTACAGAAAACATACAGCTGTTATCCCTTTAATTTGTAGTTTGGACAGGGCAGAAAAGGATATTGGTATCTCCATCCTTTCTCATTTGCTTGATCAATGAGTTTCTCCAACAAAGATAGCTTTCGAGCAATCCACTGACATTAAAGGGGAGGGGTAAAAAAACCAATAAGAACAAAGGTGGGATCAGATATCTATTGCAAAACACATTGATGATAATATAGCAATAAACAGTTGGCATTGGCATTTTCATGTTACTTTGCACAAATATAACTGCGCTGTGAGCTCTTAAGTAACAAAGTCAAGGAAAGTGGAAACATGCAAAATATAAGCTGGTAGAATTCAAAAGGTGCTTGATACTTGTGGAGATAATAAAGCCTTTTCTATCTGGTGCTTTACAATGATATTTTACCATACAAGGCATGCCTGAAGGTTGGATGTAGAGCATCAGGCCCATAAAGGAATATGCAAGCTATAGAAAATAGTAACATGAAAACATCAAAAAACGTAGACATGTAGAAAGTCACTCTCTCACCATCTCCCTTTCCCCGCTAAGATATTCATTTATGCATGGATAGATATATAAAAGCATATTCGTACAAGTTATTAGGATGGAACTTACTGAAAACGAAACCCAGAGTCTTAAAAATTAAAAAGTTGAGGGGAATGTTAACTCTTACAAAGCAGATTGTGAACCAGTCTAAAGTAGAAGTTACATAGCGTCAGTGGGAGCTTGCAAATTAAAAGAGCAAGAGCTTAAGATATTGTGATCTGTTTTGCATGATCATATCCTGTAATCTCACAACAGTAGAGGTAAAAAGTACATACAGCTAGAAGCCTAGAACCTGCCGCATTCAAGCAGGGGCGAAATAAACTACCATGATTTTTAAGAATATTTTACTAAGATTGTAACTGTACATGCTTTGTGATATCCTCATGGAGAACTCTAGCCCTTTGTTCGAGCTCCACCTGCAAAGCAGTATCTAGGGTTATGGTAATTCTAAAATCTGGAATATATATGAATATGCATGTTGTGCCAAACTCAGTGATTTATGCTTTGTTTTTTGTTTTTTTGTTGTTGATAAAGGTAACAGTATATTCATCAGCATAAAGCACTAAAGCGTGTGCTGGAAACCATTAAAAAAAAAAAAAAAAAAAGAGACCTAGTTATATCTTTCCAAGATTCTTCTTAAAAGGACTAAAAACTTTAATGAAGTCTAAGTTTCATCTACACAAATTTTTACACCAAAATGAGAGGACAAAATACAGTTAAGCTTAATTTTCTCTACAACAACTCCTCCTATCAAAACACCAATCATTTCTTTGTAATGAGATAAATATAGAAGGATTCCCCACATATTGAAAATATAACTACAAAGAAAGGTTCATACACTGGTAAAGGAGGAGATTTGTAAAAACTGTAATGAAGTCTAAGTTTCATCTACACAAATTTTTACACCAAAAATGAGAGGACAAAATACAGTTAAGCTTAATTTTCTCTAAAACAACTCCTCCAATCAAAACACCTATCATTTCTTTGTAATGAGATAAATATAGAAGGATTCCCCACATATTGAAAATATAACTACAAAGAAAGGTTCATACACTGGTAAAGGAGGAGATTTGCCTCACTTTCACATGGGCAAGAGTCACCATCCTATCTACCCACTAATCAATCCCATCGTTCAGCTGACTTTAAACAGTTGTGGTGAATAATATGTTCCATTTTCAGTTCTACTCTATCTTTAATACTTTCAATTAATGCACTTCTGAACCAAGTCTTGTCTTGTTCATTTACAAAAACTTATCCATATAACATATGAAGATGACAGGAACTACTTATATTCCCTTGTTTATTTCCCTAGCTGCTTCCCAGTTCCCATAACTGGCCATTAAACCAGTTGGACATAGAAGATGCATTCTGCCATGGTGATCTCCTAGAGGAAATGTATATGGAGCAACCACCTGGTCTGTTGATCAAGGGGAGTACGAGAAAGTTTTCCATTTGAAAGAATCTTTGTATGGTTTGAAGCAGAGTCCCGGTTTGGCAAATTTAGCGACGTAGTACAAGAACTTGGATCGAAGATGAGCAAATGCGACAACTCAGTCTTCAATAGATGGTTAACAGTTGGTTGTTGAGATATTATGTGATTTGCATAAAATCATGATAATTTGATTAGGAGATGTTATGTGATTGGCATAGAATCATGATTATTTGATTAGGGATCTTACGGATTTGATTAGGATTTTATTATGTAATTATACACTTACCAAATATGTACACTTTGTAATAGCTATATTTTCCCAATCAAGCTTTGAGGGAATAATCAAGCTTTCTGCCTAAGTCTCAGTCAGTACAGTAACGGTTGGTACTATCCCTCTGGTTGTTTATGTTGACAATATTGTCAACAAAGAAGATGGTTTTACAGGAATTTCTTCTCTCAAGTTGTTCTTATATGCCAAGTTTCATACAAAAGATTTGGGCCAGCTGAAATACTTTTTAGGAGTAGAAGTAACAATAAGCAAGAAAGGGATCTTGTCTCAACAGAACGTATGTACTTGATCTGCTTGCAGAAGCTGAAAAGATGGGAGCCAAACCATATAGCACACCGATGGTTCCTAATGTACAATGATGGTGATCCTTTTAATGATACGGAAGGATAGAGAAGGTTAGTTGTTTTAATTGAACTACCTCACAATGACCTGTCTAATTGTCGCCTATGCAGTTAGTATTATCACAGTCAATTTATGTCCGCACTTACAGTCAAACATTGGGCAGCATTAAGACAGATCCTGTGTTACTTGAAAGGAGCTCTTGGCCTTGGCAAGTAGTAAAGCGATCACATGCATACTCAGCGGATGTTGATTGAGCTGGATCCAGAACTGATAGAACATCAGGGTAGGGCTACTGCTTCTTTGTTGGTCAAAATCTGATATCATGGACGAGCAAGAACCAAAGTGTAGTATCTCGATCTAGTGTAGAACCAAAGTACGGGGTTATGGCTCAGTCCAGATGTGAAATGCTTTGGATACAGAACCCTTTAGATAAAGTTGGTTTAAAGCCTTTGTCAACAGTGTGATTGGATGTGGTAACATTAGCAGTCCAATTATGTGCAATCAGGTATTGCCTTTGCTGCTCACCTTAATTCTTGGATTGTTGATTCTGGTGCAAATAGATACATGACAAGCTCTTTTAAAGGCATTCAAAACCATTCTCCGTGTCTCAAAGGAGATAATATTAAAATAGCCAATGGTTCTTTAACACCTATATTTGGAAAAGGTTCTGTCGTTTGTACTCCTAATATTAAACTATCATACGTGCCCCATGTCCTTGAGTTCCCTGTCAATCTTTTATCTGTTAGTGCCATCACCAAAGCTATAAACTGTAAAATCGAGTTCTTTCCCAATCATTGTATTTTTCAGGATCTTCGAACACGGAAAAAGATTGGCAGTGGCAGATCGCATGATAACTTGTATATATTAGATGGAATTCAAAACTCGGGTCAAGCCTTTTTTGGGGAAAGGAAGGATGTCAACCAAGAAATAATACAGCGGTATAGACGGTTAAGACACCCATCATTCTTTGTTTTGAAGAAGTTATATCCCGGTTTGTTTTCAAGGACTCCATTTGAATCTTTGTTCTGTGATGCGTGTGAATATGCCAAGCATACCAGAAACTTTTATCCTGTGAGTGATAATAGAAGCACAACTCTGTTTATGACTATTCATTTTGATGTAGGGGGTCCTACCCAAACTGTTTATTTGTCTAGTAGTCGATGGTTTGTTACTTTCATCGGTTGTTGCACTAGGATGACTTGCATATATCTGTTAAAAGCCAAAAGTGAAGTTTTCTCTTGTATTCAGTCATTTTATAAGATGATTTATACTCAGTTTGATTGCAAAATAAAATCTTAAGAACTGGCAATTAGCAGCGAATACATGGATAAAAGATTTTGTGCTTATTGGGAGTCCAATAGGATAGTCCATCAGACTAGTTGTCCTTACACTAGTGCACAAAATGGGTTGTTGTAAGAAAAAATAGGCATTTGCTAGAAGTAGCAAGATCTCTTATGTTCACCATGCATCTACCAAAACCTTATTGGGGGATGCTATTCTAGTGGTTGCTTATCTTATCAATAGAATGCCACTTAAAACCCTCAATTTTCACCACTTAAAACCCTCAATTTTCAAAGTCCTCTAGAAGCTTTAAAGGGTAAGAATGAATATACTGTTCTTTTGGGTGTGTTTGCTTTGTCCACACAAGAAATTTTGGGAAACTTGATCCTAGAGCTATAAAATGTGTTTACATTGGGTATTCTCCGACACATAAAGATTACAAATGTTATCATCTCTCTCTAGGAGATCTTTTGTTAGCATAGATGTTACTTTTTGAGAATCTGAGCTCTATTTCAGTATTACCTCATCACCTCTTTAGGGGGAGAGTAGTAAGGAGGAAGAGGTGATTCTACCTAGTTTCATTATTGGACCTCTTGATGACATTGTCACATGGGAAAGTGAAATTGGGGAAAGAATTCAAAGGGAGACTATTGGGCGTTTGGATAGGCCTGATTTGAAAACTTACTCAAGGAGAAATAGAGTAGAACAAGCCATCATGCAATCTAACGAAGCTGAACCTTCTTCTACTAGATGAACCTATTGCTCACAGAAAAGGAGTCAGATCTTGCACCATCAAACATACTTTATCTAATTTTGTCTCCTATCATTCTTTGTCCTCCTCCTATAGAGCCTTTATCTTGTCTATTTTCTGTGTCTATTCCCCAGAATTGGAGGGAAGCTTTTGCAGATCCTAAATGGAAGCAGCTATGATTGAAGAAATGAAGGCCTTGTCAAAAAATGAGACTTTGAAACTTATCACTTCACCATCAGACAAGAAGTTGGTTGGCTGCAAATGGGTCTTCACTGTGAAGAACCCATTTATCTTGTGCAGCTAATCTTGATTGGGACTTGCAACAGTTTGATATAAAGAATGCATTTCTTCATGGAGACTTAGAAGAAGAGGTGTATATGAAAATTCCTCCTGAATTTGATACTGCACAAAGTCAAGGAAAGGTATGCAGATTGAAGAAAGCCTTGTACGGACTTAAGTAATCTCCTAGAGCTTGGTTTGACAAATTTTGCAAAGCAATGATTTCCTTTGGTTACCAACAAAGCAATGTTGATCACACTCTTCATAAGACATCATAAGAGTAAACTCACTCTTCTCATAGTTTATGTTGATGACATATTAATGACAAGAGATGACAAAGAGGAGATGGCCCGATTGAAGAAGTTGTTGGCACATGAATTTGAGATCAAGGATCTAGGAAAATTGCAGTACTTCTTAGGAATTGAGGTTGCTAGATCAAAAAGAGGAATCTTTTTTTCTCAGAGGAAGTATATTCTGGATCTCTTGAAAGAAACTAGTATGACAGGTTGCAGACCCGCAGAATCGCCCGTTGAAAGCAATCATAGGTTACAAAGCGGAGTTGGAAAGTCGGTCGATAAGGAGAGATATCACAGGTTGGTTGGAAGACTCATTCATTTCTCCCACACTAGACAAGACATAGCCTATTCAGTTAGCATGGTGAGTCAGTTCATGCATGATCCCCGAGATTCTCATATGCAAGTTGTCTTTCACATTTTGCGATATCTGAAGTCTGCTCTAGGGAAAGGTCTACTTTTCTCCAAACATGATCACCTCCAAATAGAAGCCTTTACAGACGCAGATTGGGCTGGATCTCTGAATGTCAGAAGATCTACATCTGGTTATTGTACGCTCGTAGGAGGAAACTTGGTTACTTGGAGAAGTAAGAAGTAAAGTGTAGTTGCTAGATCAAGTGCGGAGGCAGAATATAGAGCTATGGCCCAGGGTATTTGCGAACTGCTTTTGGCTACAAAAGCTACTAGAGGAATTGAGACTGTGAAAAAGGAAAACTTTCCTTGTACTGTGGCAATAAGTCTGCCATAAGTATAGCTCATAATCCAGTCCAGCATGACCGAACAAAGCATGTGGAAATTGATTGACACTTCATCAAGGAAAAAATTACAAATGGTGTCTTGAGTGTGTTTCATGTGCCATCGGAAAAACAATGTGTTTACCAAGGGTCTCAACAAACGGACATTTCATACATTGTTTGTAAGTTGGGCATGTGCGACATCTTTGCACCAACTTAAGAGGGAGTGTTGATTGGCTTAATTATTAGAAAAGATTTGATTCTGATTGAGATTTGATTTTATTCATGTAAATTGACAGTAATTTAGTTTCTTCCTAAAATAGTCATAGGACCTAGTGTATAAATGCATTTGCTTAGGGACGTAAAAACTAAAAAATACACGAAAATACAAGAAGTCTTTTCTTCTTCTCAAAAATCTACAATACGCAATACATATAATAATCATATTCCATGTGGGACTCTATTTATTTACAGAACTACTAACTATCTAAGAGAAAAGGAAGCCAAAAATGAAGTGGACAGCTTGCTAGGCAGTATGGGACAGAGAACCAAAAATGAAGACAATACCAAGTAGATTTAATATTTGTTGCGACTCGGGAGACCACGACTGAAAAATACCTCACCACCCTCCCCACAAGTAGAGATTCATTTTACATCATTCATAATACGAGAAGGATTTAGAATTTAAAATCTTCACTCGATTCTAACTAGTATGAACAAAATTCTTAACACATAAATTCCTCCATTACCTTGTTATTTTACAGTCAGACATGTTTTTCTTTGAAAAGGAAGCCAAAAATGAAGCGGACAGCTTGCTAGGCAGTATGGGCTAGCGAACCAAAATGAAGACAATAGCAAGTAGATTTAATATTTGATGTGACTTTGGAGACCACGACTGAAAACTACCTCACCACCCTCTCCTTGCAAAATGGTTATGGAGGTATAATTTGGAGGAAACAGCTTTAAGAAGAAGGGTGATACAAGAGAAGTATGGCCATGGAAGACTTTGGTGCACCAAACCAGTATCATCCCCATATGGAGTCGGTGTATGGAAAACAATTCGGGGACAATGAAGGTTCATTGCTGATCATTCTATTATCAAGGTTGGAAATGGAAGACGAGTTCTCTTCTGGTGTGACACATGGTTTGGGCACACTCCTCTAAACGATCAGTTTCCAGACTTATATAACATTGCTGCGAACCCAAGAATTTCAGTAGCAGAAGCAAAATCCACACATGGGTGGAATATTATTTTCAGAAGGAACTTAAATGACTGGGAGTTGCAAAGTGTGGCAGAATTCTGGGAGACCTTAGAAGCCTTCTAAGGTCTCCCTGAAGAGGAAGATGTTTTAATGTGAAAGGGTCACAAATCAGGAGCCTTTTCAGTGAAATCTGCTTATCATTTCATCAACATTACTACAAATTTGGAGGGTCAGGGCGCTCACAAAAGTCTTATGCTTCACATGGTTAGTAGCAAGGGAAATTGTTCTAACTCAGGAAAATCTTATTAGGAGAGGAATACAGCTGCAAGCTAGGTGTAGTCTTTGTGGCAAAGATGGAGAGTCAGTTTCCCATCTCTTTATACACTGTCCAGTCACTACTCAACTTTGGCATTTCTATATTAATTTGGCTGGAATCTCATGGACAATGCCCAATAACACTGCATATCTTCTAAGTAGCTGGAACAATGGAGGTGCAAATATTAAACAGAAGAAATGGTGGAAAGTAGTTCCTGCTTGCATCTGGTGGGTCATATGGAAGGAAAGGAATGCTAGAGTTTTTGAAGATAGGCCTAGCTCTTACCAGAAAATTAAGCTTAATTGTTTTTTGTTATTTCATTTTTGGTGCAAAGAGAGCTATAGGGAGGATGCACATTCTTTACTAGCTTTGCTAGAAGAAATGTAATCGATCAAAATAGGCTACGCAGTCTCAGATCTTTTGGGGCCTGAATGTGGCTCACACAATCTCTTGTAAATATTTTACTCTTTTATAAAATTTGTTACCATTATCAAAAAAAACAACACAAGGATTTAGAATCGAATAAAGATTGTAAATCACTTAGCTATTCCTGGATTCTCCATTGTGATTTGAGATACCAATTTATAGCGCTAAGAGCAATAGAGATGAGGCTGGGAACCACACTTTCTCTAAGGTGTAACTGGAAAGAGCACTTCTTTTTTCAGATGATTCAACTTTCTTTTGGGTGAAAATTTCTAAATAAGACATTCACACATTAAAAGGTTTCTGGATTAAGATTAAAAGTAATAAATATATCAAATAAAAGGCAATAAAGCACCTACCACAGTAAGCTTTTTAAGTAATCCAGCTTTCACCTTCTCTCTTAAATCTTCACATTCTTCCTGACAAGGAAATGCCAAAAGTAAAAATACATTTAAGGGACAGCCAAGAAGGCTCCTTAAGCACACAGGAACACACGTAACAACTTAAAATTTTACAAAGAGTAGATGCTCTGTCCTATGCTGAATCCTGTAAAAGTTCTAGAAGGCAATTAAAGCGATAGAACTTGAGATCAAGGAGGATACCAATGTAAAATCATCATCTGAAAGCATGCTCAAGCAAGTATCTCTGAACGTATTTGAAACTTGAAGAAAAGTCTCATTTTTGCCCTTACCAATTGAGCCTTGCTTGATGCCTGATAATGCAAAGCAATATCGGTATGGAAAACTTCAGGTCTTAAGAAAGATGTAAAGAACGAAGAGATCTGAGAATGAATTGCATGATTATTCCCGCAAGCATGTTGAGGTTTTTATAGTGTTTACAAGTAATCCTAAAAGGAAACAAAAGTATGCAAGTAATCCTAAAAAGAAAAGAAAAGTAACTCCTAGTAATTCCTATTCCTTTTTTTTTTTTTTGATAAGTCTACTAATTCCTATTCCTATTTACATACTTATATGGATTCTAAACCTTTGCTATATATACAAGGAATAGGATCTTATAATATTAATAATATTCTAATTCTTAACAAAAGATAATGGTCTTAAGTATAAGTCGGACCAGAATAACATCTCTATGATTTTTTTCTTATTAATCCTTTCCCAAAATTATTTAAATTGCTTCAATCTTTGGTTTGTGTCAGTTTAGTTTCAAGCTTTACCTTCTCAAAGACAACTATTTTTCACAAGGGTTAGGTCTAGCGGCCAATAAGCTGGAGTGGGCCATGGCCAATGGTAGACCAGGGTCCAGATCTAATTTCAAATAGAGAGAAAAAAAAAAGCTAGCTGATTCATTACCCTCTATCTAAATCTTGGGGGACGGATTTAATCGTAGCTGTATTGTGCAATGGCTTCTCAGCACTTCCAGAACAAACAGAGATGCTAAAGAACTCAAGAAGAACAAAAGTTCTTGAACAGATTTTGCAAGGACAGTGTAAACAGAGAGAAATATAGAGAGGGAACCTGCAAATTCTTTATTCGGATCTACAATTCAATTAAGAATCGTATTTATACACAAGATGATTCCCTGGCTAAGGCCCAAAGCAAATAATATCTATCACTAGGGGTTGGCTCTTGCAACCTTGGGTGATGGTGAGGCAAATCTCAATTCAAGTGAGTTTAGGCGAATCCCATATCTTTGAGATGATGGTGGGGCAAATGTAAGTGAGGACACTGAGTCCTAAGGGGGTGTATGTGACATTCTAGGCAAATCCCACATTGACAAAACACGGAAAAAATGTTGGGTATATAAGGAAGCAAGACTTAGAACCTAATGACACATTTTAAAATTGTGCGAGCCAAAGCCCAAAACGGACAATATCACTAGTGGATTGGGCTCAACCTTGAGGCCATTAAGCTTCAAAGTTAGCAGTGCAGTCATAAAGAGTTAAGATGCTTGAACAAGTTATCCATGTCATGAAAATACAAATTATACTAAGCAAACAATCTTAAGGAAATATGGGAACAACCTAGTCAAAATTGATATCATATTAGCAAAAAATTGGGAAAGAAAGTATCCTCATCATGCATTTTTCAGACTTCTGCATAGCATTCTACCAAAGTGTCAGCAACTAATTAAAACTAACCAAACTATGAAGTCGTTTGTTAAAACAACCTGTGATTTGCACAAGCTGATGAGAGTTTCTCTGGCTGTAATCGCATGGATCTGACTTCACCCGAACAAAACTTCCTATAATCTTGTTTTCATTTGATTGCAGCAGCTTGATCATCTCCAGCACCAGGCTCTTCTTCAAATAGACAAGTTTGATATTTTCAGGGACCAAGGCTGCAAATTGACTCGGAGCTGGAGTAAGATACTTCTTTGTCAGTTTCTTGTTTGGATCTGACTTTTTGCCCATTTCAGAAGCCACCAATATTTCCCTGTCATTTTCTTCAAGAACATCATCAAGCTCCTCTTCTTCCGAATTCTCCTCATTTTCGGCAAAGTGTACTTCAAGGAGTTTATATATTCTGCCTATGTTAACCTTTTTCTTACCTAAGACTGTTTGTAATCTAGCATCACAAATTATCCTCCTCTTTTTTACTGGATCACAAAGATCATGTTTTTTTACATAGTTATTTATTAGTAAGGACACATCATGTTGGGATAATGTTTCACTAGTATCTTGACCAATAAACTGAAGAAAGTCAACTAGAGCTTTTGACCCCCATCCAACAAATTCCTTTTTCTTCGATTTGACTTTTCGTTGCAATTTTTGTTGCTGAAGTTTATATCTCTTCTTTTTACATCCTCGCTTGTGAGGTTTCCCATCATTCGAACCTTCATAGTCAGAAACCAGCTGCTCATCCACTTCTTCACTACCTTCATCTGAATTAGAGGTTGGTTGGTACTCATTGTCCCTGTTCAGTCGATCTTTAGCAGCAAAAAGACTGCTTTTGTCAAATCTTTCTTTTTCCTTGACTGTTTCATAATACTCTCTAAACAGGCCTTCATATGTCTCCCGGTCTCTAAGGTTGACACTTTCCTGGAATGTAATAACCATTCACACAGGAATGACAATCAAATACTTACCAAGAAGAAGGTAAAAATATGAGCAAAAGAGAGAAACAAGATAATAGCAATAATAAAACAAGACTCCTGTAAATGCATGTTACCATTTAGATGATTGCAATGAGTAGAGAGAAGCAAAATCCATGCAAAATCTACTTGTCAACTTGTTTTCTTGATAGAGACAGTAATCTGTGTAATTCTGCATATGCACCTAGGTGCCTATTTACAAATAATAAGTTCATTCTTCTGGTAAAATTCAGGACAACTGATCAACATTAACATGTCAACAGAAAATGGGCATTATCATACATAACACTTTCTTAGCTCATCTCCATAGTGTGTAAACTTTCCTTTGAAGGATATCATATTTAAGCATGCATTGCGGAGTTGCTAAATACAGGGTGAATCACAATAGTTAGTTATAACTATTGTCACCTCACTTCTACTTTGGTAGCTTCCTTCAGTAGCCTCCAAATGCAACCTGGGAACAATGGAAGAGTTTTGCCACCAACTAATAATTGCTCTACCTAATAATTTAACTGAAAAATTTGCTCCATCTAATAGGTGCAAAACTAGCTAATCACTATAGCCATACCCCTTTTGTTAGCTCTTTCTAGAGCAATACCATTACCAAGCTTAATTTGGCTGTTAAATAGACGGTGTAACACAAGTCATCAATTACAACAACTATCACCTCCCATGCTGCTCGATAGACTACACTTGCTCAAGTGACAGGAAGCCTAACATGAGAAAATTTTAGGAACCAACTACATGACTATTCAACCCAACACCCCTCAAATTTAGCTAATGATAGTCCCATGCATACATCCTTCTTCTCTTGTTAACGCTGGAAACTTTCAACTTCAATATTTTGCTTTTATTTCCTTCTCTTATGAATAAAAGACAAACGTATTTGCTTTTCTAAATTGTCATACTGTGAAGCTTAGAGCTCTAGACATTGACTTATTGAATTTTGTCAATTTCCCATGAGTTGCACAGATAACATTCCATAACAACAGTCAGCAATTAATAAGTAGCGACACATGTAGTTTGAGAAATAAAGGCATAATTGTCATCCATACCCCTTCAGAATCAACATCCATGTTTTCTTCCACAAGTAAAGCAAGCTTTAAACAGTCATTGCAGAATCCATACTTCCCTTTAATATGGGCAAATTCTGTATAAAGGATGCAGCGATTGCATAGAGCATTTACACAGCAATAACAATGATAACTTGAACTTCTGTGGCAAAATAAGCAACTGTGCCATCCTGGAATATAGTAAGAACGTCATTACTTTGAGCCAGCTATTATCAACATGAAACAACATTGACACTAAGGAATAAGATAACTAATGGAAGAGTAAATAAGAACTCAAACCCAACAAATTCCAATGTAATCTGATGTGTTTCAGATAGACATGATACTCTTATGTACTTTTGAGTTTCAGCCAATCTTAGTTGTATGGATAAATAGAAGACATATCTTGGCCCTCGGGCCAAAAAGTTGAATTACACTCTGATTATCTTCACTGCTGCAAAAAATAGTAATAACCCTCCCTCCCTCTCTCTCTGTGTACCTGCGGGTAACTGTTTTATATCTGTTTATACAGATATGGTGAGACCATCAAAACGAATAAAATTAGTAAATTACTTAGCCTGATAATAAATAAAAAGTAGGTTAAGATCAGAAAATAAATTTTAAAAAATAGACGATTTCACTATGCCTTTGCACATTGGTGAAGAAATACAAGCTTTGAGAAGCTTCCCAGCAAAAATATTGCAATCCTCCTATGTTCAGACAATTTGCAGAAAAAACTCAGAAAAGATTAGCATGTAACGGTGTTGCTAAAGGTGAAAAATAGAAATGCACCAATTTCCATGGAGCTTTTAGTGCAAAGCTCTACTAAAACAAGAGCTTTAAGGATGAAAGATGCAAATGAAGAAAACACACACACACACACACACACACATATATATATTCAACGGAAGAGAAACTAACTAAAGCACAAACAACATTTTTTTTTTAAAAACCAACTTGAGCACAAACAACTATTACGCAAGTATATCAAACAAAACTCATGTAAATGAACTTCAAAAATCATTTTTACATTCTAGTCAAAGGCATCGATACTTTTTTAAGTTTCTAAATCAGGTCTACTGACTAATTTCTTTTACTAAATCTCTAGTTTCATACTCCAAATCAAATAATTATGTTTGCTTAACAAAAACAACATAAATGTATATATACACACACATATATATAAAGAGAAAGCCGATATAGAACCCTGGATGATTAGGGCACATGCCTTAGCGCCTTTGGGCATGCACTAAATCGCTGTCTAAGCAAGACGAAATGTCTTTTAAGTTTATGCACCTCTTAGCCTTTAACAACAATGGCTAGTAATTTACTTCATCATTTGTACTTGACAAAATCAATATAACTAATTATCTCTTAATGCCACAAATTCAGAAACATTATTTTAATTGCATTTTGCGTGTTTGATTTAGCTCGTACATCGATCAACCATGTAATTTGCTGGAATTTTGCTTTTTCGTGATTTACGTGCTTATCTTATTAATTTATAAAATATTAAAATTAAATATCCTTAGGGCTTCCTCTCAATTTCGCCCTGTGTCGGGTAAAACACCCAGCTTAATGCCCTTGTATTTTAGAACACTACAAATATTGGGTAACAAATCACTTTTCTCTAGTATCTCCTTTTGACAGTTTCTTCCACCAGTCATATTGGCTAATGGTAAACCATGGCAACTAGAATTGGTCAAGTCACACCACTTCCTTTTTTAACCTTAAATTATGTACTTTATGTTCCTAGTAATCCATTTTCATCTTATATCAGTTAGCCATTTAAGTCGTACATTAAACTGTTCTGTAACTTTCTTCCATGATCCAATAGTCACACACGACAGCGATGGGGCACAGGTGATTGGCACCAGTGATGAAGGACTCTATTACCTCACCCTTGCTAGCACTTCTACTCCCAGTTACTGATTCTCCGGAATTACTCCATTGATGACTAGGACATCCTAGCTAATCCAAACTTCAAAAGATGGTATCTTGTTTGTCTAAGTTGTCTATTTTGAAGTGTGAGTCATATCAAATTGGAAACACACCTGTTCCCAGTTTCCTCGTCGTCCTGATAATAAAGTATTCTTCTTTTTCTTTAGTGACATCTGACATTTGAGGCCTTATTTGAGTTGGTTCCACTTTGTATTTTGTTTTTTTGTTAGTGTCATTGATGACTACTCCAGATGTACTTGGATTTTCTTAATGAAACATTGTTTTTTTTATAATGGTAACATTTTTTATAAAAGAGTAAAATATTTACAAGAGATTGTGTGGGCCACATTCAGAATCAAAAGATCTGAGACTACGTAGCCTATTCTGTTCGATTACATTTCTTCTAGCAAATCTAGTAAAGAATGTACATCCTCCCTATAGCTCTCTTTGCACCAAAAATGAAATAACAAAAAACAATTAAGCTTAATTTTCTGGTAAGAGCTAGGCCTATCTTCAAAAACTCTAGCATTCCTTTCCTTCCATATGACCCACCAGATGCAAGCAGGAACTACTTTCCACCATTTCTTCTATTTAATATTTGCACCTCCACTGTTCCAGCCACTTAGAAGAGATGCAGTGTTATTGGGCATTGTCCATGAGATTCCAGCCAAATTAAGATAGAAATGCCAAAGTTGAGTAGTGACTGGACAGTGTATAAAGAGATGGGAAACTGACTCCCCATCTTTGCCACAAAGACTATACCTAGCTTGTAGCTGAATTCCTCTCCTAATAAGATTATCCTGAGTTAGAACAGCTTCCATTGCTACTAACCATGTGAAGCATAAGACTTTTGTTGGCGCCCTGGCCCTCCAAATTTGTTTCCATGGCCATCCTTGAGTAGGATTAGAAGTAATGTTGATGAAATGATAAGCAGACTTCACTGAAAAGGTTCTTGATTTGTGACCCTTCCACATTAAAACATCTTCCTCTTCTGTGAGACCTTGGAAGGCTTCTAAAGTCTGCCAGAATTCTGCCACTTTGCAACTCCCAGTCATTTAAGTTCCTTCTGAAAACAATATTCCACCCAAGTGTGGATTTTGCTTCTGCTACTGAAATTCTTGGGTTCACAGCAATGTTATATAAGTCTGGAAACTAATCATTTAGAGAAATGTGCCCAAACCATGTGTCACACCAGAAGAGAACTCTTCTTCCATTTCCAACCTTGATACTAGAATGATCAACAATGAACCTCCATTGTCACCTAATTGTTTTCTATACACCGACTCCATATGGGGATGATACTGGTTTGGTGCACCAAGGTCCTCCATGGCCATACTTCTCTTGTATCACCCTTCTCCATAAAGTTGTTTCCTCCAAATTATACCTCCATAACCATTTTGCAAGGAGACTGTTGTTCTGTGCCTTTAGGTTTCTGATACCTAAACCACCTGCCTGCTTTGAACACAAAAGAGTATCACATTTGACTAAGTGAATAGTCTTTTTCTCACTATTTCCTTGCCAAATAAAATTTTTTCTTAGGGAATCAATCTTTTTCCTCACCTTACTTGGTATTGGGAATAAGGACATCACATAGGAAGGCAGTGCATCTAAGACACTATTCACCAGAGTCACCCTACCTCCAAGTGACAAGTATTGACTCTTCCATGTTGAAAGTCCTTTTTCACTCCTTTCAATCACCCCTTGCCAGAATTCTTACGACTTGTTTTTGGATCCCAAAGGAAGGCCTATATATTTAGTAGGTAGGTTCTCTATTCCACATTCCAAGATATTAGCCAAATTCTGTATATTTGGAACTTTATTTACCTGATATAGCTTACTCTTTCCCTAGTTAACATGTAAGCCTGCAACAGCTTCAAAGGTTGTTAATATCAGTCTGAGATGAAGCATCTCTTCTGGTTGAGTTCCCATGAAAATGAAAATGATAGAGTCGTTTTTGTCTGTTAGACACCTTGAACCTATTGATCCATCCATTTGACTTTGCAGTGTTGATCATCTGATTCAACCCTTCCATTGCCATCAAAAACAAAAAGGGGGATAAAGGATCCCCTTGCCTTAACCCCCTTTCTAAGAGAAAAAACTTTGGGGTGAGCCATTAATCAAGATAGAGAATTTTACAGTGCTAAGACAGAAACGGATCCAGTTAATCCACTTAGTTCCAAAGCCCATATCAGACATTAATCTCAGGAGTAACTTTCAGTTGACATTGTCGTAAGCCTTCTCTATATTCAGCTTGCATAGAACACCTGGGATTTTGCTTTTGAGTCTAGAGTCAACCACCTCATTAGCAATAAGAGAAGCATCCATGATTTGTCTTCCTTTTATGAAAGCCATTTGATGACCTCCAATGAACTTGTTAATTAAAGCCATTTGATGACCTCCAATAAGCTTATTAATTACAGTCTTCAGCCTTTCAGTTAAGACTTTGGCTATAATCTTGTAAACACTTCCAATCAAGCTAATTGGCCTAAAATCTTTAAGTTATCTAGCCTCATTCTTCTCAAAGTATTCATTAGAGTGCAAATTCTTAAGGGTCAACATGACATCTTCCTTGACTGTTTGGCCAGCATTTCTGAAAAAAAACACATGGTGAAGGCATCAGGGTCCTGGTGTTTTATCTTAAGCATAGGACTTGAGGCATTCCACCACTTCCTGTTCTTCAAACTCTCTTTGTAAACATAAACGTTCCTCCTCTGTTAGAAAGGTCCCCCTATCAAGATTGTAATTTGGCCTCCATATTTCAGGTTCAGCAGCGTACAACTTTTGATACAAGTCTATGATTTCCTTCTTGATTTTTTCAGAGTTTGGGGTCGTTTGCCCTTGCACCTCCAGCTTATCAATGTGATTTGTTAGTTTACAGATATGTATAGTGTATTTTTGTCCCACATTGGAAGAACAGTAATATCTCTTTGTAGTGTATAGCTATAAATAGGGACCTTTTGTATTGTATTTATTATCTAATATCAATAATATATTTTCTCCTGTGCTTTCTCACATGGTATTAGAGCGTTAGTGAGAAACCCGTCGTTGTGCATCATTCCAGCGACTTCCGGGAAGAAAGACCTCTTCGCCGTGCAATTTTCCGGCGACTTAGAAGGCTGTCCGTAAGCAAATCACTTTTTGTTGGTGTTGTGCAAAAACCAATACCACCACAAGACTCCTCAGGCTCCGGTGACCAAACCCAGTCAACCCCACCGGAAAACAAACGTCCACGCGCCCTCACGCGCCTGGAAAAAAAAATTCTGGCGATATCTGACCCACGCGCCGGAGCGTGAGCACTGTTCCGGGCAGATTTTGAAAAAGTTCCAGTTGAACAGTAGGATCGCTTGGTAATTCCGATCCTACCCTCACTGGTTTTGTTTCATTCCGATAACTTTGAGTTTTTCCGTTAGCTACAGTAGATTCCGGCGTGAACAGTGTTCCGGCGCAGAACAGTGTTCTGTTTTTACTGTTGTAACCAGTGTTTTCAAGCTATTTTTTTAGTTTTCTCACCGGAGTTACTTATTTCTACTATTTCAAGTTAACCCTACTACTACAAATTGTAGCGACATGGGAACCGATACTTTGAATAGTCAGATGGTTTCTTTAGCAGATTATATTGAGTTCATTCAGTACAAAGCATGTAAGCAGACATCTCGTAGCGACATGGGAACCGATGCTTTGAATAGTC